GGGGGTCATGAATTTATTCTTGCCATTTAAGCAAAAGGAGAACCAAAACACCAAAACAAAGAGCATTCAGTTTACAGTTTTAATAGACAAGCAAAAGAAGGCAGATATGAACAAACATCCAGTTACACACAGAAAGAAGGGTGCAAAAATGAAAAACACTGCATATCAATATAAAAAAAAACACAAGCAAGACAGTCAATAAAAATATGACAAAAGCTTCACTATATAAAAGCTTGCCTATAAAAAATGTGATCTGAGAATTAAAAGGCAATCACTGACTCAGCAAACCTTATCTCCTCAGGCAGCTTGTTCCAAAGCTGAGGGACTTGTTGACAAAAGCAAACAAACATTCCCTGACTGGCACACACACTGCAACAGTCCAGTTCTCCCAGTAAAACTTCATGCTTTCCCAGAACCACACAGTGACACCATGTTCTCCTACCCAGACTTAAATCCCATATAATTAAAGCACGTCATTTAGCACTAGTCCCTCCCTTAGCTGTGTTTCCATTTGCATATGTGACAAAAAAGAAAACTTGATCAGTACGCTGTGTTCAGTTCCTTTCCTCTTACTCGACACGTGAGTGTTGACGTGTCGTAAGAGGATGCGGGAAGTTCAGTGCACCGCTACAATCTGTGAAAGCCACCTAATGGCATTCAGTCACCATCTAAATGAGTAAATCCCTTCTACTTCCTGGCTTTGAAGCTCAATTAGGGATGTTTCCATTTGCATGCAGAATCCAAACCTCCTTCTGCCTGGGAAGCTCAAACGATGGGGAGACACTGGACAAAGGATGGAGAGGGATGCTGCCCTGTTGCTATGGCAACCACCGGAATGTACAGGCTGGATCGTGGCGGTTCTTGTGTGGAGTGCCAGAAAACCCCCCACACATCCATGTTATGTAAGTAGGGGGGGAAAAGCATCAAATGGGGTCTCATAAATGGAGCTGCGCAATAGCCCCCTGGCCAAACACAGCTTTATGATGCTGGTCAGCTAGCAAGCACTCACAGTATGGCATCAATCAATGCAAATAACTCTTATTTCATATTCACAGTGACAGTTTCTGAGGTCTAATGTAACAACGCACGGGGATCTGCAGGAAAATCGGTCATTGTTAGAGGTTACTGCTCTGTTGTCAGTGCATGCACAGTGCAATCCTACTCATTTCTGCTGTGGTGTTGTGTAACAAATCGCACTGGTTCAAACCAGCGCTGGCACTTCTTGTAGTCAGTGCGAAATGGATGGAGAGCTCCCTGCATCATAAAGTCATGGCTCTAGAAGGACGAGAGAGAGATAAAATTTGCAAAACAGCTCCGAAAGAAACCAATGCAGCTTTTTGTTTTATGCAAAATGCATCTTAAGAAAGCTGCAAGAGAGGAGATGTCAGTGGAGGACACATGTGTCTCCTGGCTCATTTCTTGGCAGGAAGCATGAATAATCCTATTTTAGAGAGAAACATATAGAACAAGGAAAATTCTTTTGAGTGTGAGAAATCATCAGAATTTATATCTTTGCAGGGAATAACTCCATCTTTTCTTTCTCTTTCTCCCACACATTCACTAAATATTCACTCTCACATACATTTACAAGCTGTGCTTACAAGCGCTATCAGAAATAAACATGCAAACTCATCCCTGTCTGCATGAGCATAGATAACATGCAACTGCATATTTTGTCCAGCTGCACTTATACTCACATAATTTGGTATGTTCCCACAGACGGGCTCTGTGCACTGGCTAGGATCCTGATTGGCTGAGCACTCTGGTGTGATTGGACTTATGTTAGATCCCCACCAGCCACTCAAACTTACCTGTGCTGTGATTGGTCACGCCATTACATATGACACAGTGACACAGTTTTGGCTGTGCTCTGCTGCAGGAAACACAGTATGCTTTTGTCTCTCGTTGATGGTAAAAACATGGAATAGATGGAAGCATGATAAGAGAGGAATGGGGAGGTGTGCTTGGAGTCTTTTCGTAGGTAAAAGTGTCAAAGGCAAACATATAAATGTCCACATTTAAAGTAAAGAGAAAAAAATATATATACAGTGCTTGCACGTCCATCAGTTTATTGCTACTCTTGCTTATTAATCTACTTGTAAGATTTAGTTGGACTTCAGGGTAAAATATCTGCACTTTAATTCTGCACTCGAGTACTTCTGCTCAGTCATCCAGCATCTGTTTAACTTTTCTTCTTCGCTGTTGCTAAAAATTACTGTTCATCCATTCAAGTGTCAGGAACGTGTTGAATTCATAATTAAACATCCTGTCACAAACAGTTCTGTGCAGTTTCACCAGAGTTCAAACTGTCCACACTTCCATGGCTTGAAAAGGGGGCTGAGGAATGGCCAAATGCCAGTACTCTTCCACCTCAAAATTCACAAGGGTTGCTCCCCTCCCCCAAAGACTCCCTGCTGATTTATCAACAGGGGGTTGTCCCTTCTTTAACATATAAAACAAAGGATGGCCGGCAGACCCCTACAAGTCCTTTTTCTTGGTAATTTTCCATGTAGTAATAAGGCACGCAAGGAAAAAAAGCTTCCATGTGCTACTGAAATTTGGGGACAGGGACAAGTTTTTTTAAAATGACAATGCTCAAAACAAAAAAGCACACACCACAGCCTGCACTGCATATTATACAAGATTCAAAGACATTTGAAGGGATCCTGGACATTCTTTAAGGAATTTTGCTGGCAAACTAACAGAAGACACTCATCAGATCTGGGATCTAACCCTCCTGTTTACTTTTTAAAAAGTCAACTTAATAATTCATTTAAAAGAAAACTTTCAATGTGTACATCGCATTTTGTGGTTTCCAGGAGTGTAAGGAAGTAATCTTCAAGCTGACAGTCGCGTGGCAGTTACTACCTCAAACTTGTTTGCTCAAAAATTTGACTAACAAAAAAAAAAAAAGTGCTTGCGTTCACATCAGCCAAACACAATCTTATTGAAAAGCAACACTTCAGGATGGCTCAGCCAAAAACACCCCCCTTCACACCCTTTCTCCTTGTACACATTTGTAGCTATTGTGTGTATTAAAACCAAGCTGAATCAAAGATAAAAGATTTCTCGACGTATTCATTTACTATTACTGATGAGTAAAAGTATTATTAATGTTAATGCAAAAAAAATAGTCCTTTAAAAC